GGCGCCACGGTCTAGTCTCCTTTCCAATAGCTAAAGCGACCTCTTTCTTGTTGTCCCAGAAATGTTTTGTAACATCTATCAGTGATATTGCCACGGGCGTTGCCCCGCGAGCGCGTGGCCGGATGGTTACCGCGCTTGGCTCTCGCGCGGAGGCTCCGGGTTCAATACCAGAAAGTGGGACTTCTCTTTTATTTATTCCTTCAACTGGACATTCTGGTAAGTTCGAGAATTTTGTCGTCTGATCGAGTTACGAATGTTCTACGCGCCGAAATTTCTACGCCGAATGTTCCAGAAACCCACGCGGGATACAAAAGGTGCTCCGAGTGGCAGTCCGGAGTCAGTCTCGCCCAAGCGGTCGATTCTGCTGTTTCGCCGACATCGACGCCTGCGCGACGCTAGCCTTTCTCTATTTTGTTCTGGGAACAAGTTCGCCCCAATAAACGTTGTTCTGGGAACAAGTTCGCCCCATTATTGGCCGCCTCATCATTTATCATTCGTGATAATATTTTCCTGTTTATAGTCGGACTACATAAAATAGCCCCACGATACTTTTTTTCCGTTTTGTGTTGTTGCGTGCTAATAAACCCTTCTGGTCACCCAGATTTGCGTAGCTGCATAATTGTCGTTGACAATGACGTCGATACAAATCCAGCAATGCGGAAGTATCTTCAAAAGTAACTGAAATACATTTCTAAGTATTTGTATTCTACTCAAGATACTGTACAGTGAAAATAACTTGAGTAGTATATTAAATACTTTATGAAGCAGGTATTTACTAACTTAACTTAAATACTTTTATCGAGTATTTTGTCCAGCACTGCCTACAACCACTGGTGGGATATGTGGGAGACACGTGCCACGAGACCGCAAGCGAGTGCCGCACCGCAATTTCCTTTCAGGGGCCGCTCCATAGCCGCTCATTTTAGTGCTGCGCCGCCATTTGCTTCCAAATGTCGCACGGGGCACGGGCTGTTGCACTGGAATATTTGATGCTGCTTTCAAGACACACAAACACATCAAGGGGCTTGTCTGGGGGCGTGTGACTCTTTAGTGTGACCTAGGGACACGCAGAGCGCGAGGTGACGTGGCACGCTCATACGAAGCGTGAGGTGACGTGGCACGATGCATAGGTAATGACACTGGCCGCGGTCATTCTAAAATTGAAAGTGAAAGCACGACGCTTGGCAGCGAGACACGGCACGTTCCATGGCATCATTACGTCATACTTGCGTCGCCTCTCATTGGTCCTATTTTTTTTTGTATGGTGCAGCAGACAGAAAACTCACAGAGACCGTTCTCCGGGAAAATGTCAAATCTGATCTCGGCGCGGTCATAAAAGTTTCTCGTGCCATGAGTAATTGTCCGCGCAAGCTCGTGAAAACAGCAACAACAACAACAAATGCTCTGGCTTGTGGCATTTGGTGCTGGTGTCGCCATCTCGTTGAACCAATTGAAAATAAATCTATCGAAAACTGCCTTGTCAAATTTAATTACACAAATACGCGAATACAAAGACATTTAGTCTTCTCGTCAGGGTCTTAAAATTAAGATGAGAGAAACCTCTAGTACGTACTACCATTCATTTTGTCACTTTATTCTTCAGAGTAATTTTAATTTTAAAATTGTCTCAAAACTCGCTCAAAACAGCCAAAATGGTCATATTTCTGGAATTTATTAAAACTCTCCAGCGCTCTCAAGGGAATAACCAAGGGTCGTACGACCTTCACTACATCTTCGTAATGAACCTCGAAAAGAATCAATACTCTGGTGAATTGCTGAAACTCAGGTTTGCGTAGCGAATTTTCCCATTTAGTGACGATCGGTTTAAACCCCCTTAAAGATCATTTACCTGTATAGCAAGTCTCATAAAATAATTTCAAAAGGCATGGAAAAGTACAAAAACAGGGACGATGGCTACCTCTCGGCCCGTCACCAAATGGTAAGCTTTTGTGACGTTAAAAGCGATTTATTGCCAATTAGTACGGGCGTCCCTCAAGGTTCCATTCTCGGTCCTCTTCTTTTTAATATTTATGTAAATGACCTTGGCAGTCTACCATTTTCTTCGACGGTATATCAGTACGCGGATGACACTGTTCTGGTTTTTGCAAGTAATGACGAAGCCACAGCGTTATCGTATTTTCAACGCGATATACATGGGTTGATGGCTTGGTTCAGAGCTAACCAAATCTTAGTTAACGCGGACAAAACGAAACTAATGCATTTTCATAATCCTCACAAAGTATTAAATTTGTCTACGCCTTTAATGCTACATTAGTCTGACTGCAGAGACTGTGAATGCACACCTTTAGAATATGTGTCATCTGTAAAGTATTTAGGTCTTTTTTCGACAAATTTTTAAACTGGGGCACTCACATAGACTACCTTGCGAAGCGTCTTCGCGTGGTTTCCGCATACTTGTTTCATCTGCGTATGGTATCTGACGTAAGTTTACGGATGAAGGTGTACCAAGCGTTAGGTGAATCGGTGCTCCGTTATGGTATAACGATATATGGAGCATGTTCAAATTACAAGAAAACAAAATTAGATAATATTCTACACAATGTGTCCAAAAATATTACGTACAGAACAAGGTGGAGCGGTGTAGATCCTGATTTAAGAATGAGGTTTCTTCTAATTCTTTCCATTGAACGACTGTACATCTATGTAGTTTGTCTAAAACATTATTATAACGACACATTCAAGGTACCATTAAAAAAGCAAAGAACACTAAGGAAAACAGAGCGGTTTGTTCAGCCTAGGATTTTTACGTATTACGGAAAAAGAGTAAGATCATTTTATGTACCATACTTTTTTAATAAATTACCTGACGATCTATTTTGTTTACAGTCATTCAGTGTTGTTAAAAGATGCCTAAAATATTGGTGTCTTACTCATACTAACTAGTTCAGTGCGTGCGTCTCAGTGCAGACATTGTTATGTTTTAATATGTGTGCGGTTGCATGTGCAGTTGCATTTTGATATTGTATAATTTTGACTTCTGTTGGCTGTCGGGACCCGCCCACAAGCACCCTCGTGCTTTTGCGGGCCCGTACGTATCTGTATGTTTTCGTTCAGAAATAAATAAATAATAACAATAATAATAATAATAAAGACGGGCACGAAAACAGACTTTGCAATGTTTTCTGATCTCGCACAAAGAGTGCTCATTCGTATTCATGAAAAGTTCTAACACCGAATGGGTTGGTGCTTCTTTCACCTTTAGGATGTCAATAGCCATGCTACAAGTCCTGTTAGTATGGCTGTTTGACTGATGGTACGTAGTCGGACCACGTTTCAATTGACAACACGGGTTGGCACAATTGTGCAAAAAGAGGCTCTCCATCCACGACTTGATAGTCATTAATTAATACTGACACCCCTTCATTGCGTTCCAATGCGTACTTTCCGATTACGCATACAATTTTATATTGTCAATACATTGTATCTTGATTTTAGCAGTGCCTGGGCGATACGGCTCAGACTTAAGTAAGGAAACATTATTTTAAATTAATTCTAAACTCAAAAGTAAATCGCATCAATGTGAATAAGAACGAATATCAGTTATGCCTGACGGAACACATACTCTAAATTAGTGATGCATCTAACGTAGCGCTTGGTGGGTTCCTTTTTTTAAGGAAATGCCACACAATTTAATGCAGTGCCTATAATCCTGTACACATATGCTTTGCGGCTTAGTTCACTACAGAAAGTGAACGTTGCAATGCAAAATCAACCTTTATCAACTGCGCCGTGCAAGCACGGTGCATTACATAGCCAGTCATCTCCCCTGAAAATATTACACAAAACAGAAAGCAAACAATTAGCTCGAACCTTTGCTGTGCACTTGTTTCGGTCGATAAATATGTTCCCTATTTTACTAATAGATAATGCTACTAACGATGAACACAGCGTGTAGCTGTAGTACGATACGGGGAAGTTTCTGCAGCAGGCTGCTGGCGAGTTGTCAGCTGCCACAACAATAATTGCTGGGATCCAAACCAACGATTCGATTGCTGCAATTCATGAACGTTTGAGGCGCCAGTAACCAACCAAGGGTGCAATATTTTGAAATTGCGTGAACCCTGTCCGGGTTTCCTGCCATGCGCCAGATATCACGTTGCCCAGTTACGGCGATAAAGTCCACGAATCATCCCCAAGTGTCGCCAAGGGGGAACGTCATGTGGCCAAGATAGTGCCGGTAACAAAGAACCACGGGTCACGAAAAAGACAAACAGATTTCTTGAACCGGACAGTACGGACTCGATGACGCGACCGCCAGCGAAGTAGAGACCGCGAGGGCCGGCGTGCCCACCGCCGAATGCCTCCCGCGTCCAGCATTCCAACCAAAAAGACTCCATTTTAATGACGACGATGACCAAACAGGGCACTGCTGTTTCAACTGTTGCTCTGTGTGAATGCGTGACATAGAAACATTGCAATGTCATGACATTGGAGAAAAGTTGCTCGTGAAGCATGGGCTGACATTTCAACAAAGTCCGTAGAGATGTTTCTTTTTTTTTTTTTTTTTTTTTCAAATAGCTGTAGAAGGGTATCTTAGGGGAAAAAAGCCGCAGCGCAGCTATACGCAAGTCGCGTCCATGAAGGTTAGTGGATAGTTGCTGATAAAGCGACATTCGTTCAGGTTAATAGAACACTGGTAACACGGATATCGCTTCTCTGTTCAAAGCAGTAAAAAGGTCTGTCGGCAGCTCTGTCACTGTCACAAAAGAAGCGATCCAGATCTCTCCCAGTCAATATCTTTACGTAAATCATGACCACGTTGCTCCTGATAGTAGCGTAATTGCATGCATGCAGCAATTGTGTCGGTATCCTGAGGTAGGACACCCGAAGTCATGGGCTGCTGCTGAAGGTTGCGCAAGTGAAGTGCACAGCCCCCAGTTATTCTTAGTCTGTACCTATTAGAGCATTACTCGTGCTTGCGAAACAGATGCTGCACAGTTTACTGGGCATATATTTCTATATAAAGCAATGCACCTTACTTCAATGCACCGGCATATGATGTCTGGCATCTGCAGTTTACAGGCAGCATGAAATATCTCTGCAACGTTATTGCAGGACAACTCCAGCTTTCCAGTTTTCATGTACTCCAGAAGGTCTTTGAACGTCTGGCCGCTCACTCCAGAGACAACCACCTACAAAAAAAGTGTTAATTTATTTTTCCACACATAATTTAAAAATCTATATGTCCTACAGAGTGCCGAGTTCACTGTCTTCCGGATCACTTTTGTGGGTTAAATAATAGACCCTTTCCGAAATTCAGTCTGGGCATTTTGATCACTATCATCATCTGTGGAACGGCATCTGTGCCGTACCAATGGCGGTTTTCTAGTCACTGATAAAGCAAGACTTTGAAGATGCTCCTAATGGGGTATCCACACGAAGGAGAAATCCGCCCCTTTCCTGCGCGGAGCGAGCATCACGTGAGACATACGTCATTCCTTTTTGACGCCTCGCGGCGCCGTTCTCCTCCATGGCGGAGGCGCGGAGGCGTCGCACTGTTAGCACGAGAGCTCCGCAGGTGGGCGGCGGAGCCGAGGACGGAGTTTCCCGGGTTGTTGACGTCACGAGCTCCGTCCGCGGAGTTCTCTTTCGTGTGTACTGGATACCCCTTTTCCCCCGGGTTGTTGACGTCAGGCGCTCCGTGCGCGGAGTTCCACACGAAGGAGAACTCCGCGGACGGAGCTCCTGACGTCAACAACCCGGGAAATAAGCGGATGATGCGAGGTCTGTACATTAGGGGGTTAGTGCGATGCGACGTAGGAATGGAACACAAGAGCTATGCAAGCGTTCGTTTCTAACTGAGATTCAGTAAATCTGTGGGCCGCACACAATCGACTTTGAAGCCCTTTTTGTGTATATTATTTTATCGAGGCGTCTGTGTGGGTTGGAGCTTTGTTCTCACTGCAGGTGCTTCGTCACCATCGAACTGAAAGTGATCGAGAAAGAATTACACATTGAACAATTCCTCGCCTGCAGTTGACTTGGGAAAATGGCGGTGTCCGATAAAACACAAGTTCATTACCACCACTGGTATGGCAAAACCTAAACCGCTATACGAGCCACCAGATGGCACTGAATTTCGGAAAGGGTCTATTCGGCCGTTAAAATACAAAGGTAACGAAATAAATACCCGTTTCTTTCTTGCTCGACCATCCTTAAACGTGTTCTGAAAGAAGGGGCTGCACTGCATCAAGAGAGATCTGCTAAAAGTAATTGTTTCATCTTCAACTATCATCTCAATCAGGTCAGGATCTGCTGGAGTGGAGCTTATGGCCATCGTTGATTTGCTCTGGAAGCAAATGCAGGCAGGCATTATTTACTGGAAAGCACGATGACTGAACAGGGACGACACCAGCCGCCGTTGGACAATCATCTCAATTACTACGGCTAAGATATGCTTTCTTTTTGTTTTCATTTTTTTTTTTTTGTCAGAAAGCGGGAGTGTTGCGGAACTGCTAGAGCCCGTTTGGAACAGGGAATCGAAAATATTTGGAGCCAGCTGCCTCACCTTATGCCTCTGGAGCGTCCGCGTTCCTGGTGTTCCTTCGGGGTACCTGCGGTGTGTGCGAACCGCGCTCGTGTGCAAGTGGGGCGCGTGCTGCTGATAACCCAGAGCACGAAAACGACGATTGCGCGAAAACAAGGCACCTTAGACGCCGCGGTATTAGGGCGTTTTAAAAGACATAGGTTCATCAAAGCCAACGTACGTCCCTGGAGGGGGTCAGTTTGGAAACTCGCTTCTCGGCGTGGCGCCATTTCGTAGAGCGCGCGAGGTGGAGCTGTGGACGCTCTAGGATCAGAGCCGTGTATTGGGCTCTGCCTAGTACCACTAAATTAGCTACGCTTCGGAGTAACGACACTTCGCCATATTGTGGCAGAAAACCATGGTTGCCAGTTAACCTAAGCTTTATCTGAAATCACTGGAAACGCTTTTCCGTCCTCCACAAATGTTTAAACTGTTTGCGACAGAGCAAAGATATATTACATGAGCTTCCTAACACCGAATGTAATGCTGAACAAGTCGCCCTTTTGAACCATGACGATCGGCAGTTGCGTCTGTTCTGCACAAGCACCAAAATGGAGGCGCCCACAACACTGTCGGGGAACGGAGTGCCGATACTCTGAGCGCAGCTCATTTGGTGGCTCTAGTACTGCCTTTAGACGCTTTAAGCACGCGCCAGGCTGAGCCGCCATTGCCGTCCTTCTCTTGACTTACCTAGTGCCACTAAATAAGCTACGCTTCAGAGTAACGACACTTGGCCATATTGTGGCTCAAAATCATGGCTGCCAGTTATCTGAAGCTTTATCTGAAATCGCAGGAAATGCTTTTCCGCCCTCCACAAATGTTTAAACCGTTCGCGACAGAGCAAAGCAATATTACATTACCTTCCTAACACCGAATCTAATGCTGAGGAAGTCGCACTCTTGAATCATGACGATCGGCTGTTGCGTCTGTTCTGCATACGAGCCAAAATGGCGGCGCCCACAACAATGTCGGGGAACGGAGTGCCGATACCCTAAGCGCAGCTTATTTAGTGGCTCTAGACTTACCGAGATGCCGAGCCACTGAAGCGGGCTTTGACGAGCCTCCACAAAGGCCTATGCTATGGAGAAGGACAGAGTAGCATCTCAAGTGGCAATAACCTGTCCTTCTGTCGCAATGATAAAGGGAAGTGAACGGAATAAGAGGAAACAAAAACTGAAGATCGGTTATGGCGGCGCCCTTGCACAGCTGCCTGAAAGCGTCTATACGACTCTGCCTAGGATCGAGTCTCTTTGGTGTCTCGTTGTCGTCGTTCTTCCTCGTGTTTTCGATCGTCTCACCGGTAGCTCGTCGTAGCCTCGCAAGCGTTCTTTTCTGGTGCCGGGAACTTCGAGTCGTTCTCCAATCAAAGAGAAAGCATGCCGACCTTCTGCGCTACCGGCTGGCGCAGCGGGTACGCCTCACAGGCGTCAAAAAGTGACGAGAAGCACCACTTCTTTACCGCTCCGAAGGATGCGGTATGGTAGAACGCGATCCCTGGGGAAATGTTCACGCTCACAGAGGGGGATCGGTGGCCGAGTGGGCTAGCGCACACCAGCTCGGAGCACGTGGAGCGAAAGCTCGCGCTGCAGAACCCAAGGATCCTGGGTTCAATCCCCACCCCTGCCCGTTTCGATCTAGATGGGCATCGTACCGGCGTGCGGTCGTGTATCACTACTGCGTGGTGCACGTTAAAGACCCCAGGCTAGCGGTTGTACTGCACTGGCTAAATTGCTCATCTACAGCTGGGAGACTCGTCGCCCCTGTGAGGCAGACCAAGTTCTAGGCTGTATAAACATACACACCAACCCAATTTTCACGCTCACATAAAAAACTGTGAGTGAAATTTGCATTTTCAGCTCGACGACATTAATTGTCATTACTCGCACGTCATCAATGGTCATAAATTGCACGTCATCGTCAACGCTAGCGGAGGAATCGCAGCGGTGTAACGCTTCACGCTGCGCGGAGAGAACGGATCTCATGGCGACGGCAGCGCCACTGTTTCGCCGCCTACCGCAGCGGCCCGCGCTCCTCCGGTGAATGCCGCTAAGAAGGTAGGGTAAGGGAAAGAACGCTGGGAGAGGAGGAAATGGACCCAACGCTGTCGAGGGGAAGAGGAAACCCCCTCCCCTCGCCAGTGTTGCGTTCGTTTTCTCCTCTCCCAGCTTCCTTTCCGTCGCCCTACCTTCTTAACCTGCAACATGCAATAGTAAGGTTAAACATAGCCATATAGGGCTTGTATCGTGATCACCACCTTGAGGAGCACGCTGCTCTTGAAACTCAAAAGCGTTAATAAACACATGCAACGGAAAAATTTAAGAAACAGCCTAGATAGAGGGAAAAAAGTCATTAAACAAATTTACAAAGAAATAAAGCTATATTTATGGCCCGAAACGAATTTGTAGTTGCTACTAGCAGTCACGTGACTGTGCACCGCCGTGCTGCGCAGTCGCCGCCGCAAGTACGCCGGAGCTGTCCAGCGCCGCCGCTGAAGTCCCCAGTAGCTACGGGGAGGGCATGGCGTCAGCCACGTAGCTTTGCCGAGCCATCCTCCCGTGTTGCTCGCCTCTTTCTAAACCTCCTCGCCGATTTTCCTTTCAAACATGAACCACGCGTGATCTCGGCATGCTACATGGTTTCGTTTACGAACTGAGTGGCACCAGGTTCCACCGTGGTTCTGTGCATGATCGCGGCAGTTGACTGCGCTTGCTGCCTTTTATTTGGTCGTGTAACAATGAATTCAAGGAATTGTTTTTGTTGTTATTTTTTACTCTCCGTTACCATCGTGCAAGTGAATACAAGCGTTCCAACTATGTGCGTAACTTCATTCAGCTTGAGAAATGTTTGCACCGAAAGAAATTTAAATATACTGCGAATTTTTACAGCGATTATTTTGTGCACGCCCGTGTGAAATAGTTTGTGGAGCGTTCACACAGTAAAGCTCACAATACGGTTGGGAGTGTTCTTGGTATGCATCGCAACCAACATTGAACTATGCAGTTGAGTTTGACTCGGGTGTTTTCATGACCAACGTTGGATCAACTCAATTGGAAATGACCCACAGGTTTTTCGCTGGGGCGTGCCACAAGACCTTCGTTGGTTTGGATTATAAAACACCAAGATCTGAGTATTTGCTTCGCTTCAACTTAGTTCAGAGCGCAGCCAACGCAATGGGCTGGTGAAGACTGAAGCTGCGCCAAGAGCACGATCCTGCTTTTTCTCTGCCTCCTTTCTCTGATTCAGAAATCAATAAAGAATATGACTTGATTTAACTTGATAAGATCCATTCACTGTTACAACAAAGGGCCAAAATCAATCGTTTGAGCAACTCGGTGGCTCTCGCAAACCTAAGAGAACACCAATAAGTTCAGGTTCCTGCGAAGTTTAGGACGTAATCCAACAAGAGGCGTGCCGGTGAACAAAACTCGCCGCGAAAGCTTTCTGCAGCCGCTCACACTGCAAAACCCAATCTTGGTCTCGACAACGCCACACACTTTCGTTTACTCAAACTGCGCAGTGCCTCGGCTCGTCCTCTCGAGTGATCCATCGTCCGCCCATCAGGGTCCCGCACGTTTCGCCGATCCAGCCTTTACTCTCGTTAAACCTATCAGGCAGAGTGAGTGCAGTACTCCAGCGTGCACAGCTGGCACATCGCAGAACGCGTCCGCTCCTCGAGTTTCGTTTGGTAAAACCTTCCGGGTGCACGACAGACCGCGACGAGCTGATCGCGCGGTTCGTCGTCTGCTCGGGAGCGTGACTTGCTCCCCCAAGGGAGCAAATGCGCTGACACAACCATTGGTCCCCTAGGGGAGCAACGGTGACGGGAGCAACCCTTGCTCCCCTACCGTTAGTCCCTCAAAGTTGAACCCCCAGGAGAAACTTTTGCACCCTTGTATTGAGGCCCCTAGGACTAAATGTTGCGCCCTTACATTATTTAGTACCAAATTGCGCGCTTACACACCCAGGTGGCGCTATTCAACGTCAAATTCAAAGTTGGTAAAAAAATTTAGTATCGCTGGGGTAGATCTTTTCCGCGCTCATTACATTCACCTACGAACAACGCTTATTTCACATTTGCACACATTATACACATTTTAGGCAAGGAATTAGAACACAGATGACACACACAAAACACGCACAACACACACGCACAACACACACGCGACGACACGCTATTTCAACCGTCACCCCAAAACCTACCCATGCGCCTTTTATACTGATCATATGAGAGGAGTCGTTTTGTCAGTGACCATCTCAACCGTGAACGACGTTACAAATATGATGCTGCTTTCGCAACAATATTGTTCTCCAGTATTGTTGCTAAACTTTCCAAGGAGTGTATCTCTTACTAAGAAGTAACGGTACACACAGTAATTATTTGTGACAGTCTATAAAACAGTGTCCCCATAGGCTCTCAGGAGCCATGTTCTCGCTTCCCCGCATAGCTTCCCCACTGTGCGCATGCGCGTCTCCGTGGCAACCCCAGCGTTTCTTGCGAAAAAAAAAAAAAAGATTGTGAAGAATACAAAATGAAAATAAACCAGACTTTATTTTTTTTGTCTTTGGAAACGTTTTTACCGCGTGCTAAGTGATAAAAACATTTTTCTACGTCCCAGTTAAACCAAAAAGAAAATACAGACGCTTTCAAAGCACGTTCAAAAGTATGCAAAGGGGAAGGACGCCAGGACAATGCTCAAAAGCGGCATGGCCAGTGCATCAACAATGGCTGCGCTTGAGTCAGCGGGGGCTTCCACGACGTGCTGGTACGGAGGCTGCGATCGTCATAA